TTCCGTTGCCCGATCGGTGAGCTCCCATCTATCATAGTGTCAAGGTTTTAAGAGCTATATGTTAAGATTATGGTTGGGCTCGCACAGTTAGGGTTACTGTTATGGTTAGGGTTCAAATTAGCACATGAGCCTTCTCAGCCCCTGTATTTGTACGCGAGACCGTCTATAATACTGGAGTCTGACCCTGTTTTCTTATCACCATAGGCTACACTTTTGTATAAGATGTCCTCAGCTTTTACCCACACTGTCAACACTTCCCAAATATTTTTATTTGTTGAAAGCTTGAACGCTGAATCTCAAGGCAATTCCGATATTTGTACTTCGGTCAGACTATTCAGTCGTACATTTGAATGACCATTATTTACTTCTCACTTAATCTCATCTCGAAATTCTGGCAATTCTCCAAATTCTCTATGAAACTTCAAAGGCTTTACTTTGGTTATTTGGTCTTCTTATCTAGACCGAATAATTTGATAATTTTTCTTTAATGCATCTTGTCCTTGTGAACGTGAAATGCACGGCTGTATATGAGGCGTCCAGTGGTTGATGACCAATACTCGCTGCACTCATAATCCAACAGCCAGGGAATACGCTTGAGTATGGTGACCAAACAGTCATTGATCTTCGACACCCTAAGCCAGATACTAAATGCGATTTCATTGTGCCACTGAGCATTTGAAATGAACACTTTGTCTTTTTGAGACTTGCGACTCGCCACTTGTTGGTGGAGGTCGGAATTTTAAAATTAATTACTAGAAGGGCTTATTTGGGCTGATGATAAACAGTATTAACACGAGAGTTGAATAAAGATATTTGCATAATGGGACATGTATTAGGGTGTCACGAGGCCGTGGAGAAAGTTGACGGCTACGACTGTCGCATGCCATGACTGTCCCTGTCAAGAAGTGACGGCTGACAGAGCAGTCGGCTGATATCCAGGCTACTTGCATCTGTTTTTTTTATATGATCATCGCCCCGACTCACAATGTCAACGGCGTCAAAGTTGAAGATGTGTTCCATCTGTGCGGCATGAGTTGTTACCTCCGACGATGGGTCCAAATTTCGCACGGCAAACTCGCGCTCGATTATTCGCGTTTGCAGCCGCCGGCTGATTTCCCCAACGTAGCTGTCATTCTTGCGATTTTATTGAAGACGTGGACAATGGCTGACATTTTCTACTTACGAATCGCGTCTTTTGGCCGCATGACTTGCTGGCGGACCTGTGGACAACTCCTATTCCGAACGGCGCGAGGGATCTAACCACGGATTCGGAGACCCCTTTTCATGTACCTAATGCTCCGCCACGACTTTGGCTGGTCTAGCTTTTTATTTCGCTCTCTTGGTTATCCTACGGATCCGTTCACCGACAGTTTGCGGAAAGCCGTTGACCTGAAGAGTTCATCGAGCAACTTCAAATAGTCCACTTTGTTGACTGCGTGCTGCAACGAGTTTCAACCCGCCGACATAGCTTGCGGACGCAACTTCGTTTTTTTTGCTGCAGTGGGTGGTTGCTGTTGCAACTGAGCATTTGCAACGTGTTCGCCCATCTTCTGTAGAGCGAAGTCATCGGTTTTCACTTCCATCGTATAATCTAGATCGGGAGTGTTTGAGTTCATTAGCTCCTCGTAGTAGTTAATTCTAACCTGTTCGATGCTTACGAAGATGCCATCAATGAGGCGCTCACAAAACTTTGGTTTCTAGGTCTCGAACGGTTGCCTCTCGAGTTTTTGCAGAATCGCTTCGGCGGTAAGTCCGGAAATTGGTTAACCCATCGGAGTGCCCTTATTTTGCTCATATGTGATACATTCGTAGGCAAGGAATGCCATGAGGCAGTGTCCCATGAGTTTTGTAGGATCCTGAACGGTGGGCTGGACATTGTCCTCATTGCAATTTTGACGTAGCAGGTCACGAAGCGTTTTGATCACGAGAGCCTGTTGTACGGACGTAAAGAGTGAGATAACACAAAATGACGCCAACCTTGCATTCGGTTCGAACAGGACCACCTTCATTTTGTCAACAAATTGTTCTGCTGAGCGCACTGTTGTATGCGAGCAAGCGTTTAGAAATCTTGGCATCTGCAATAGCCGGTCTGAAAGCCTGTATGTGGGTGCGCCCGGGAGTGAGATAATTTGTTAGAGAGTGCGTATTTTCTTCTGATATGCCACCTTAGAATCACATTTTCATTAATGTTGATGTTGTCAGTCAAGTCAAATACGACAGTGGAAGGTCCCTTACCCGCAAGCCTGACATCGAGTTTTTTGTTCTTCTTCAGTTATATTTTTACTTCACTCTTGACCTTGGGGATGATTTTACGCAACCGACGAGCCATGAGGAGCGACAACGCCTTGCTTCTGCTAAAATCTTCCGTCCCCTCTCTCGCACCCGTCTAGGCGAAGTTTCAAATTCAGCTCAGTTTGTGTAAAAACAGGATTGGTTAACATATTTGAACTACCTGTTGATGGTCATCTACAAAAAAGTTAAGAAAATACAAAAGAAAGAAGAGCCGACACATTCGCAACATTAAAAAGAAAATTAATCTCACGATTGCATGCCACAGGCGGGTAGCTCTTTGCATTCATGAGTGTATCGTTAATTCCTACTTAGGGGTTCAAGTAGTACATTCATACGCAATTTAAATAGCGCATCATTGAGGGTATTGAATACGAATGTGGCTGGCGAGACATAAGACGTGTGTCGAAATTGGCATTAAATGAATCCCAACAGGAGTCCAGAAAAACATCAGCATGAGAAACGTTCAGTTTTTGAAGAGAAATCCGTCTTTTTGGATAACCGAGCAAAATGTGCGTGGTACCACGAGCAAAAAATGACTGGAGATAAATCAACTGTTCAGGCCATGTATGATATGGAAAGCTAGCACTTTAAAAGAAGAGGGGCGTCCACCGGGAGGGGTTTATTCGAGATTTGACGTTTCGGGTAGTTTATTCGTCTACCCATCTTCAGGAATGGTGTCTTTTGGCGTCGTCTCACTCTTCACGTCCATACCACAGGCCCTTGCGGTCGAAACGCTCAGTGACCTGCTACGTCAAGATTACGACGGGGGCGATGACCAGCCCACTGCTCAGCATCTCATTGAACTCATGCGGCTCTGCCTCAGGACATTCTTTACCATCGAAGGGACCACATACGAGCAGATCAAGGGCACTTCAATGGGTTCACCAATCTCCGGACTCATTGCCGAGGCGGTTCTACAAAAACTCGAGAGACGACTATTCGAGGAGTACAAACCCAAGGTTTGGGCACGCTACGTTAATGACACCTTCGTAATCATAGACCAGGATAAAATCAACTACTATGCGAATGTACTGAACTCAATCATGCCCGATCTACAGTTCACGATGGAGGAGGAAGTGGAGGACAAACTTCCGTTCTTAGATGTTTTCGTCTGCCGCCAATCAAATGGCGACCTAGCGGCGTCGGTCTACAGAAAACCGACGAACACGCAGCAAATTCTCAGCTACAACAGCAACAACCCACCACAATACAAAGGAAGCTTTGTCCGAACGCTGTACCGACGGGTAAAAACTCATTGCAGCACGCCAGCCGCCAAACTGGATGAGATAAAGCTCCTCCGAGAACTTTTCAGAGCCAATGGCTATCCGCGGGCATTCATTGAACAAGGCCGGAGGCAGTCAAAGAAACGGAACGAAGAGTATAGTCAGCCAAACTCGTGGCGGAGCATTACGTACATTAAAGGGGTCTGCGAAGTCGTGGCTCGATCACTCGCGCCACTCGGAATAGGTGTTGCCTACAGGCATGACTCAACAATCCGCCGGCAAGGGATGCGGCCGAAAGATCCGATCACTAAGCAGGAGATGTCGGCCATTGTCTACCGACTTTAATGCAGCTGCGGAAGTTGCAACTACGTTGGGGAAACCGGCCGACGGCTGCAAACGCGAATGCACGAGCATAAGTTGGTCGTGCGAAGGTTGGACCCTAAGTCGGAGGTAGCAACCCATGCCGCGCAAATGGAACATATCTTCAACTTTGACGTCGTTGAGATTGTGGGCCGGGGTAGCGATCAAACAGCTAGGCAAGTGCAAGAAGCCTGGATGTCCACCGACCGCTCTGTCAACCGCCACATCAATTTGCCTCCCCCCTATCCGACTTTACGAACCTTCTTAGCGGCAGACAGTCACGGCGCGGGTCAATCGGGGCCGTCAGTCATCACCGCGGCCGACGGGGGCGATTCAGGTCACGGTGACATGCGGGTTGGATGCAGCCACACAGGCGGCATTGGCGGATCGCGCATTGGACAAAGGGCGCCATAATAAGGAGTGCTGTGCACAGGATCACTCAGTCCCTGAAGGTGGGTAGACGAATAAACTACCAGAAATGTCGGATCTCAAATAAACCCCTCCAGGTGAACGCCTCCTCTTCTTTTGATATACAACCTGGGAATCGGATTTTCACTACTATTGAAGCTAGCACTTTATTTTTCATAAATACCTGTAGGAAACACAAAAATAGATAAGGTTGGCTGCATTACCGCTTCAACCATGTTGACATATTTGGAATCACCTGTGTTCAATCAGGCTTCGTTCCTTAACATCTACATTTGTTCCTCTGTTGGCTTCCTAGAAAGGAGGTTTTGTATCAGTTTGCCGTTTTTTGGTGTTGTCAGATAAGGTAGCTCATGAAACGTGTTCCTTAATGCAGTTTCACGAAGGGTTTCCAGTTCTTGGGTTCCTTCTATCACCCTCTGTTGAAGCAGTCCTGTGTCGTTGTCGACCATGTTTTTGAAAAACCTCGTATTCTCTTGGCCAATCCACTAAGGGTATTAGCGAAGCCCCTAGGGCAGTTCTGAAACAAAATCCAGATCACTTGTCTTACGCGATGAAATACCGCATTCCTCGCCAACTAAATTTCTACTGGAGGTTTGTGTGGAACATATTACGACAACATGGTATTTTTCAAATACTTGTACCTAAACCAAATCTGCGGGAGTGTAGGCGCTTCTCGAAAGGAAAACCTTTCCCATCTGCGGACAGCTGAGACCCGTCGTGCTTGATCATTTTACTGATTAAACGCAGTGATAGTGGAAAGCGTCAGGTCGGTGAAATTCCTTTTCCAAAGATTGCATCTTCTTCTTCACTTAATAAATGGCTTCCGGAACTCAGAGTAGTCTATTTGGCCGCTTAATAGCTACCAACCACCCTAATCAATAGTGAATTATGACATTTGGCTCTCTTCTGCACTTTAAATTCGACTGTGACGTCTTGGTCCCATGTTCAGGACAACGCGGCAAGTTATGCCCGGAGGCAAAGTTTACAGACAAGTTTCCCAGTTCGTTAACTTCTCAAAGGAAAAAGACCTGATGCATATAAGCCACTCAAATGGAGGCAGCAAGTTGCAAGAAATAAGAGTCAAAAACGGAAGTACAATTGCCTATCATTATTAATAAAAATGACTACCTTGTCGTTTGAAGACTTTCGCACTACTAGAAGTTACTAAAGGCAATGTGTATATTGAAAAATCAGAAAACCTCGCCTGATAAACCAAAAATCCGCTGGCATTCATTGTTTTCAATTTTGATACCTCAGCGCAAATAGATCCCTAAGAGCTTTGTGGGAAATTTTAGACTGTATGGTAAATCACAAGCGGAGATTATCGGATATAATTTGGTCGATCGTTTTCCTATTATAATTCAGTTACCTATGGATGTCGGCTTTCGAATTAACCTCTTTCTGGCTGCATGCAAAAATCGCACACTTAGAAATGACTACTTGATAAACATGCATTTTTCTTATTGATTTTCGATGCCCTTAAAAATGCAATTATATTTTATGCAAAACAAGCATAAACGTATTCATTTCATTTTGTTAGTCTGACCTTCCGCTGCACGTGCATTCAGGGTTTCCAAAGCATTAGCCGTATATTTTTCGCATAGGGAAATCCACACGTTTCTCTATGGTATTAAGAGGAGGCTATATGGGGTTCTTAAAAGTTAGCATTGGATTTAATCCATATTGTTAACTTTACAAGCCACATTGATAAATGCAGATACATGGCGTACCATGAACGGCCATTGTACGTTATTTAAAGGTAAGACAATTAGAAACTGTTCAAAAACCAAATACTGACCCCCCTTCATGCATAAAATTAAAGGAAAACGTAATTATCTACCGAATGGGCAGAAGAATATGCATTTTTTTGCATGGTTTACATGAAATATTATTGAATTTGCAGGGGCATCGAACATCGATGAGAAAGTTCATGCTCCTTAAGTAGCCATTTTTACTGAGTGTAATTTTTGCATGCAGCCGGAACGAAGTTTGCTCGAAAGCCGACACCCTGAGGTAACTGGATCATTATAGATGTATGCTGCATCATGATCACTTTTACAACACTACTTCATTTATCTTTTCGAAACGAGAACGCATGTCGAAATGTTGGTTGACATTTCATGATTTACCACATCTACTGTAATTCAGTTATCAAAAACGTTTCCTATTGCAGAACAATTTTGAACCACTTCTACCGTTACAATTAGATTCAGGGTTCACAAACTACGAGCCGCATATTACCGCCTACGGAAAAGCACATATTCCACTACGGTAATAAAAAGAAACCATATCAAGTTCATAAAATTAAGCAGTGGATTTGATCCATATTGTCAACTTTAGAAGCCACATTGGTAAACGCTGAGACATGACGATTTATTATCGGCCATTTCGTGGTATTTAAAAGCCATACAATTAAAAGCATTTTTAAAACAGAATTGTGTCCCTCCATCGAGTATAAAATTAGTGTAAGGCGAAATTATCCACCGAATGAGCAAAATAATGTATATTTTTATTTATGTTTCCATGAAATATAATTTCCCTTTTAGGGGCGTCGAAAATCAATGAGAAAAATGCATGCTTATTAAGTAGTCATCTTTTATAGAGTACAGTTTTTCTATGCGTATGGAAAGACGTCCGTTCGAAAGCCAACATCTTGTGTTTGCTGAAATATTATAGAAATATGTTGAATGATAAATAGTTATACAACCCTAATTAATTAACCATTTTGAAAAAAGGGTCATTTCGGAATTTCGGTTGACATGTCATGAGTTAGCCCACCCGCAGTACCTCTGGTCAGCGTGTAACTCCAATTTCAGGGGCTGTGTTTAGGCGGCTGACACCATCCAATGCGTTCTTCACGTAAAAGAACGCTCGCTAAAATTGCGAATCGGTCAGTGAGTGTCCGATTTTTCGTTAGCGCATGCAACAATAGAAGAAGTTGTGCGAGCAAGCGTTATTTCCAAGCATTTTCCTACGCTATTAAAGCTTTTGGATGAAAATTGTTTGTGTTACCTTATTAAACTGTTTAAGAAGATTAATAAAAGTACGAATTTTTTTAATAAACTTTCGAACAAAAAGAAAAATTAAATTTCAATATCAACAAAATCAGGGAAATGCAGATAAATTATTTCTTATTGTTTTCAGGAAATAACGTGCGATTCTTTATTAAAAAATCCTATTTTTCAAATTCGTAAAGTTTTATGTTTCAAAATACGAATATATATTGAGTTCGCGCGACATGCCGTCACCTTGCTCTGCCACGCCAAACGATAACTATGTCTAAACACTACTTATCCGAAGTTGAATTCCAGCGCATTCGAAAATTAGCGGCGGAGGGAATCCCGCGTGAGTCGTTAGCTAGTTTTTTCAATATTAGCAAGGTCACTCTGTGGCGCATTATTAATGATAAAACTGTTCCTAGAAATGAGATAGGGGGACCCAAACGGTCCACAAGTAAGCAAGACGACGATTTTATTTGTCGTACATAAAAAAGTTTCATTACATGCCCATTGAGACCATTCAGCGGGAACATCTGCCGATGTTTTCTATGAACATCATTAGAAAAAGGATGAAGGAATTTGAACTGCAGCGGCGGAAGGCCATGATTAAGCCATATTTAAGTAGAAAACTAATTAGAGAACGGCTTTTATTTGCTAAGAATTATATTGATTACAGATCTTCATTTTGGAAGAGCATTTTCTTCTGCGATGAGGTTCTATTTTTAGACAAGCCTACGAACTCGCTCCAAACCGTCATATGTGGAAAGAACTTCCCAAGAGAACACACTACACCGACGGCAACATTCAAGAACTGTCGGCGGATGATGGTTTGGATGACGATTAAATTCGGTGAGCGGCCTGTCTGGCGGCCAACATCCGACACCATCAACAGCAAGGTGTTCATTGCAATTGTCAAGGATGCTTTCGGCTACAACGGCATAAGTCGGCGCCGAATGGATACTGTAATTTTGCAGGACAATGCACCTGTCCACCGCTCTAAAGAGGTACGAATTTGATGCCGCTTGCAAATATAATCTAATATTTTAGACAACCACCACGCTCTCCGCAACTGGCCTCCAATCCATTTTTATCCCGGCCAACTGTCCCGATTTGAATCCTATCGAAAATCTTTTTGTAATAGTCAAAAGAAATTGGCACAAAGCTAAGAAGACTCTTTCAATGCAGGAAAAATTGGATTTCATACTCAATAATTACATTTTACAATCTACCATAGATAACCTTGTCATGTCTGAGTCGGACAGACTTTCTGCTGTTATTAATTCGAATGGACAATCTACAGAGTGCCAGTTTTTTGTATATGTTTCTGTACTTAATTATTTTTGACCTTTTATGCGCCGTCCTCCTTTATACGTCCTTATACGTAGCCTTTATTAACTTGGTTGTAATATAGGCGTTTCTCGAAAATGTGACTTTTGTCGAAAATTATTTTTTTATCTCAGTATATAATATTTTCTTAACCAAACTTTGCTTTATTTCTTTGACACATCGTTTATTTTCCGCTATCAGACTTTAAGAGCCGTAGTGTTTACTGATTTT